ATTCTCGATACTATATTGAATAAACTTCAAACAACTAAAGTTATAGAATTGTCTAGCTAAATTTATCAGAAAACACAAGATACTTACTAACTCAAACATAAGATCGACAACCGGTATTGTTTCCTTATCACTTATAAATATTGCTACGACTCGACCACGAGGTTCATCTGACCTAATCATGAAAGCTGTATTTGGGAAGTTTAAGCTGTTATGATGGCCAGTAGAATCCAAAGCCAACAAGTCCGGATATTTAGTTAAAAGAATTGGCATAACTGTGGAGGCGATACCAAGAAGCATAGCCTGTTCTTTGGGATTTTGGGTATTCTTGACACCATATTGTTTTGATATAATGGTGCCTTCAGCCTCATAATCGTCCATTATAGAGCAAATCTATTAACAAAGCAAAATAAATAAAAAAAAATAAAAAAAAGGAAAACCTCCCCTCCATACTTTTTCAAATTCTGATATGCACGGATGATGCAACTTTTTATCGTATTTGAGGGCATTTTGAATTGGTTCGAGGTTGGGTGCAAATCGGGTGGATGTTGGCTGAACTTGGTTTGCTGGTGTATCAAAGGTTTTACTAAGAGTCTTTGAATTATTCATAAGTTCTAAAAAAGATTACTAAATTAAAATCTGAATTTCTAAAGTTAGTTTTTTTTTTTTTTTTTTTACTCACCTGTCGCTAACATTGAAGGGGTTACACTTGTCATTCTATTTGTGATCGTTTTTCTTATTGAACTTGACATTCAAAGTGGTTTTTTTCGAACGTGATCGGGGTCATGATTTCTATAACATTTGATATTACATAGGTTAAGTGGTTTGTCTTGAAGAACTGAGATACGGCCTTTCTATTTACACTTTTTTTCATAACAACCATTCTTTAAGAAATGTGGTTAGTATTTCATAAATTCTCTAAAGATGGACGAATATATGGGCTGCTATCAATAGAAATAAGCAGAATTAGCTTTTAAAAAAAAAGTTAATACCTTAACTTTTATGGATAAATTTTAAAGTACTTAAAATTCATCAAGACATTAACTTCCTTTAAAATGTTAAATCTGCTTGATTTCTATAGTGGCAGCCCATATTCTTTATCATATATACCCGAGCAGAACACCCTAGGTATTCTACGTATGCAAATATTGATTCGTATAATTGCTTTGCATGTTCATCTACAAGCGTGATTGTTTTCACATCCCCTTCATGTACCTTTGTTGAAAATAATAAAAATCAACTAATCAACTTTTAAATGTAACTCATACTTCTCAAAAGTGCCTTACCTGATATTTATTTGTGCAGTTTTCGGGTAAAATTTTATAACCTTCACCGAGCCTACTACCTCCAGGTGATGTTGTGTCAAAGGTGTACAGGTCTAGCACTGAAGGTACTTCCGTAAGTGGTACTTGTATGCATCGAAGATTTGGCAATAATGGACGCCAAACCATGCTTGGTTTATTTGATTTTACGTCACAGCTAATAGTCGAAAGAGATAAGCTATCCATTTGATTGTTGATAATAGACACAGCTCAGCACTATAATTTTGTACGATTTATAGATGATTTTTATTTTGTTATTTTGGCTTTGGTTACAGTATAGATAAAAAAAGAATCATCCTCTTAAAGAAATTATCCTTTTTCAAAATTTTCTAAAAAAGGTGTAGCGGTATATTGCTTTTCTATTCGATAAAATAAATTTTGTTTTATAACTTTAATTTATATGATGATGTCATTACTGTTTACCACATGTCTAACTGAGAAAAGAAGCTCTCTTCCAAAATATTCCAAAAAAGGCGTGGTGACATACTGTATCTATGTAATATAATTAATTTACCATCTGCCTGGTAAAAATTAATCATAATGTTTACTATACGTCTGGTAAAAATGCATTTTAAACCAATAGTATCTTTTTCCAAAAAAGGTGTACTGGCATATTTTATCCATTTTCACGAGATTCTACATAAACATCAAATGTCGAACCCTGGAAAATTTTGAAATTGGATGTCTAAAAAAAATTTTTTTTAAAGCAATTACACTGAAGACTGGTTTTACTATTTATGGAAGAATATTTTAAAAACTCTTGCACATGACTATAAGCAATGTTTTTTTTTTAAAGTGACTCGTTTTTTATTTCAAAAAGCGCAAATTACCCCTTTTTGCATGAGTATAGTGTTACGGTTTTTTGAACCGTGACCACGCCGTGGATGAAAAAGTAGCTCATTGTTGGGCTTAAAGGGATAGAATGATTTCCTTATTTATATATTCATTACTTTTATTTATTTTTCTTTTGTTTGTTACTTTTTATGTTAACTGTCAAAAGACAAGAGAGGTAAGTATAGATGTAGACAAAAAATCTAGAACGATAGTCCAGTAATGGATGAGTTCCTGCCAGTGTCCAACAAATATGTGATTATTTCATAGAAAACAAATTGAAAAGTAGGAATTTGACCCGGCATAAAACTTAAGCACCAGGCATTTACCCATTTGAATAACTCTGTTGGCCCGGCTAATCCGGTTGTCATATAAATAATTGATTGATGTTACTAACTTGGCGTCTACTTTTAACATCTAAGCTTCAAAAC